TTGGTGGCCATGGTAACAATGTGACATCATTATGTTGAAAGAAGTCTATTGTGACTCTTGCAACATGTGGTCGGGCATTATCTTGTTGGAAAGTTGGATCTGCCAGGGTGTCAAGATAGGGTAAAAGATGGGGTTCTAGAACTTCGTGGATATAACGCTGCGCGTTCATGTTACCTCTGATGAAGATTAAAGGTGACCTGGAACCATAAGCTATAGCACCCCAAACCATAACTCCAACAGTGTGATGAACATGTCTTTCAACAAAAAACTGTGGATTCCTCCTTTCACCACGTCGCCTTCTAACCCTGGCACGACCATCGTGCATGCCTAAACAAAATCGAGACTCGTCACTAAAGACAATACTGTTCCATTCCTGATCCCAGAGTGACCGTTGTCTGCACCACTCAAGGCGATTACGTCGGTGTTCTCGAGTTAAAGGGAGGACCCAGTGTGGCCGGTATGAAAACAAGCCAAAACTTCTCATTCGTCGGTAAACACTTCGCATGCCAATAGGTCTTCCGTGTTCTGCAAACCATTCATTTGCAATGGACCTGGTAGTGGAGAAACGGTCCCTTAAGGCCAATAATCTTAGGCGGCGATCTTCACGGTCTGTTGTTCTACGGCGGCGTCCAGTGCCCCTTGCTCTTTGCGTACGGCCTTCTCGAAGCCATGCCTGACAACACCTAACCACAGTGTCTACACTTCTTTGCACTCTAACTGCAATTGCCCGAAAAGAAAGTCCAGCTTCCCGAAGTCCCACTATACGGCCCCTATCAAACTCACTAAGTTGACGAAATCGTACAGGTCTCCGTACTCTAGGCATCGTAACCGATCGTAAAGGATGTCAAGAACCAAAATCCGCCAACGTTGATTCTTTACTGCGGCTGAAATATTCATTTTTAGAGCGTTAGTGAATTAAAAAAAAGCAGTATAAAAACCGGAATGTCCAACTGATAAGGCTGAAAATTTTTTCACTTGTTATTTACAGTAAGATAAATACATTCACAACTTTATTAAAATAAAACCATTTAAACTTAGTATAGATTAAAATTATTAGGTCCAGTGTCGTCCCGCGGGGCACCTTAGCGAATATTATTGACAAAAATGTACGCCACTACCTTTTTTGTAACTTTAATATTTGTTGTTTCATTAAGCATCTGAAAATACAACTTCTTTGCCTCTTGTATTTTTTCCGTATCTCACTTCGTTTTCGAAAGAAAAACCGTTTTTTGCACGGCAGTGGACAAAATGGTTTATTAATTTTTGTTAGAAAAATCACAAGTGCCTTGGAAAACAAAAAATCCTTTCTATATGGAAGTTTGACGTTTGCGCGTCAGTTCAAATTTCAACAGAATCGTGTAAATATTTTTTAAGATATTAATAAATTTTTCCTGTATATTGAAAACTCACCATTTCCGGACCCATGTTTAAAGAATTTTTTTTTCATTTTTTCAAACAAGGAATCACGCTTTAAAATATCTCCGACTATCAGACCATGTATGAGAGTCATTTGTTTAATGTTAATGGGTATCATTCCCTAGTTCTGGGATGTTTAATTACTTTAAAAAAAGTATGTGTTGCAGCAAATTCGGACGCACCTTATGATGAGTGCAAAAGTCAGTTCAACACGTCAAGAATCATTAAAATGAACGCATTAAGTCAGTTTCATCAACCACCAGGCTTCGTTGTCTATAACTCTGGTGAGTATAATTATCATCAGGCTGAGTCGATCAGAAGCATATCCAAATCCAAAATAAAATAAAGCCATTTTTACATTCGCTCTCTCAGCTTGGATTTGACTGGGGCTTAGAGATGATTATTTCATCGATCGATCTTTTCTAGTGGATCGAATACCAACGGAATTTAAAAGCTTCAAATCGATTACAAAACAACTGAAAGAATACTATACGACCCATCCGAAGTTCCGTATTTTATCGGCAGGACAGTCTGAGTTAGGGGAAATTATAACGTAGACGCAAAGCCTATTGGAATACGAAAATATGGATCTTCAAGTTTCCGCCACAAGCCTGCTGGTAACGCGGGAATTTTGAAAAATTAATTCCTAGTGAAATCACTGAACAGGTACGTGAACGTTCCTTCGTGTCAAAATAAAGACGTGGAACTCAAAACTACGCGATATGGCGTCCATAAGAATAAATAAGTAAAAGTAAAAGCAGTATTTTACCAGTTTTACGATTATCTCTTTAAACATAAAATCTTGCTTCCCATCATTTCCCGTTTTGTAGCCTAGTGTAAATATGTTGGTTTTTTTTATTCTTCCTTAAATATGATTCAGAACTACTTAGGTTTATCTCCAAAGTGCCTCATTTCCTACGGAGTTCCCAAGGATCCGTACTTGGGCCACTACTATTCATTTTGTATATTTCTGGCATGTAAACGCAGTCGTTTCCATTACCACAACGTTCAAAAGCTGAATCTAACGTAAATCAAGATATAAAATCTACGTGGGACTAACTTTATAATATATAAATATAAATATATAATATAATATAAAAATAAATATAGAAATAAAATATATAATAATATATATAATATATAATATATTATATAATATATAATATAAATTATAATATATAAATAATAATATATAATATATAATAATATCTATAATATATAATATATAATATATAATATATAATATTAATATATAATATATTAATATTATATATATATAATCTATCTGTTTCAATAATGAAATGTTGAATGTTTCTCACTTATATTTTATACGCTTACATTTTTTACTTATCAAATGTTTCTTTTATGTTTTGTATCCTGTTTTTTTTTTGTTTTGACGATGAGGACAATTCATCATCATTCTTGTTAACGTTTTCGCATTCTTCATTTTCTTATTTATATTATTTGTAGGACACCTCAGACTACGACTGGTCTCAAAATGTGAACAAAAGATCCCGATTTCAGCGACTATCCCATTGAAGATACCATACCTTACAATCAAAAACAATTGTTGCTGAAAGACTCGAAAACAGGATCCGAGAAAATCCGAACGGAAAAATTCGAAATCCGTATCCACAAAAAAGAACTTGTCGGACACGAAAAGCATCTACGATTACGACAATGTCAGATCGGCTAGAAAAAGACTGATGGACGATGTCGACTATGTTCCGACCGAGATTCTGAAAGACACGTTCGTGAAAAACGAAGAGACGCGGTTGAGAAGGTCGAAATTTGAACAGAGAGACGTTAACACGCATTACGACAAGATCAAGAAAAGGAGGATATCCAGAAGATCATCCAGAAAAAATTGGACGATATGAAGGCGAACGAAACTTTGAACCTTTGGCAGTTGGAATCGGAGAAAGAAGTGCAAGATTGGTCTAGTGGCAATTACAGAGGGAAGAGAGCGGTTAATTACACCTTTGAAAGTTCTTCTAAAATCACGTCAGTAGGTAAGAAGCTACTCGTACTTCAAAAATGGGAGTATGGCAAAAAGCAAATTACCCAGTTTTCAGTTTCCAAATCCTAACTTGTTGTAATAGTTATAGTTTCATAGCAATCAATCGTTTTCAGGTGCCATTTTAGACTCTTTGAATTCCACGAATCAGTCAAATACCATAGACTTGGTATTCATAACTTACTGGCAACCAGTGAACGTACAGCAACCAAGTTCTCTAAAAAATGACATCCAGGAATGTATCGAAGACAAAATGGCACTGAATTCAAAAGGTGTGTATCCCGTTTCAAATATGTTTGTTACCAGTTTTGAGAGCTTTGAATAATTTGAGAGGTTTGATAGTGACGTGTTTTTAGAGACTTAGGGTTTTCGAATTTTTAAAGATTTTAGAGACATTTTAGATATCTTAGACGTTTCAGACACCTTAGACACTTTAAAGATTTTCGTTATTTTTTCGAAATTTTCAGGATTTTCCAAATTTTCGAGATCTTTCACATTTTCGAGTTTTTGGGATTTTCGATTTCCGAGATTTTCTGAATTTTCTGAATTTCTGAGATATTTGAGATTTTCGAGATTTACAAGATTTTCGAGATATTAGTAAATTTCGAGTTTTTCGATATTTCCACGTATTTCGAGATTTTCGAAATTTTCGAGATTTTAGAAATTTTCGAGACTTTCAAAATTTTCGAAATTTCCGAGATTTTTGAGATCTTGTGTTTTCTCGAGATTTTCGAAATCTTCTAAATTTTTGAGATTTTCGAAATTTTTGCGATTTTTAAAATTCACGAAATGATCGAGATTTTCGAGATCTTCTGAATTTCCGAGATTTTGCGAATTCCGAGATTTCCGATTTTTTCCGAGACTTGAGATTTTCTGGGTTTTTGAAATTTTCAAGATTTCCCAGATTTTCGAGATTTTCTAAATTTTCCATATTTTCGAGATCCTCGAGATTTTTGAGAATTCCGAGATTTCCTAGATTTCCGAAATTTTCGATTTTCGTGTATTTACAGATTTCCGAGATTTTCGAAGTTTTCGGTATTTCGAAATTTTCGATCTTCCGAGATTTCCGTGATTTTAAGAATTCGAAATTTTCGAGATTTTGAAAATTTTCGATTTTCTGAATTTTCGAAATACACGAGATTTTCGTAATTTTCGAGATTTTCAAAATTTACGAAATGATCGAGATTTTCTAGATATTCTGAATTTCAAAGATTTCCGTGATTTTCGAGATTTTGAGATTTTGCGAATTCCGAGAATTCCGATTTTTTCCGATATTTTTGGGAATATCTGGATTTTTTAAATTTTAGAGATTTCCCAGATTTTCGAGATTGTCTAAATTTTCTATATTTTCGAGATCCTCGAGATTTTTGAGAATCCCGAGATTTCCTAGATTTCCGAAATTTTCGATTTTCGTGTATTTACAGATTTCTGAGATTTTCGAAGTTTTCGGTATTTCGAAATTTTCGATCTTCCGAGATTTCCGTGATTTTAAGAATTCGAAATTTTCGAGATTTTGAAAATTTTTGAGAATTTCTGAATTTTCGAAATATACGAGATTTTCGTAATTTTCGAGATTTTAGAAATTTTCGAGATTTTCAAAATTTACGAAATGATCGAGATTTTCTAGATATTCTGAATTTCAAAGATTTCCGTGATTTTCGAGATTTTGAGATTTTGCGAATTCCGAGATTTCCGATTTTTTCCGATATTTTTGAGAATTTCTGGATTTTATAAATTTTAGAGATTTCCCAGTCTTTCGAGATTGTCTAAATTTTCCATATTTTCGAGATCCTCGAGATTTTTGAGAATTCCGAGATTTCCTAGATCTCCGAAATTTTCGATTTTCGAGAATTTACAGATTTCCGAGATTTTCGAAGTTTTCGATTTTTCGAGATTTCAGAGATTTGAAGAATTCGAAATTTTCGAGATTTTGAAAATTTTCGAGATTTTCTGAATTTTCGAAATATACGAGATTTTTGAGATTTTCGATTTTCGAAATTTTCGAGATTTCCGACATTTTAGATGGGTTCGAGGTTTTCGGAATTTTTGAAATTCACGAGATTTTAGAGATCTTAGAGTGCATGGAGTACTCAGCATAATTCTTAAAAAGAAAATTTTCGCATTACAGATCCCACTTCTGACTACCAAAAGAATACAGAAAAAGAACAACGTGCCCTGTACAAACAAGAGTGCCTGGAAGAACAATCGAATTTGCGTAACACATTCGCCTACTACGACCGTCTTCAACAGTTGCACTTGGGACAAATGACCGTCTACCGCGTGACAATCGAATGCGAATGCCAACTAGCCAAAAAGAACGAGAGGTGCGCCAGGTTTCTGCCGAGAAAGGAACAGAGTTGGCCGGAGTACTTAGGAAGGAACGGGGACGGGATCTTTGTTTCCAGGGGGTGAAATTTGTAAATTATTTATAAAATTTCGTTTTGATTATTATGGAGGATAAAAACATTCTCAACACAAGTAACAGATTCCGTCAGAACCTAGACTATCGATGGAAGTAGAAAAAATATCTTTTTCAAGCATATTTTTCATCCCAAATCAGTATAAATCGCTTGAACCCATAATCAAAAGAAATTCCGAACATATATCCTTGCCATAGCATAACAGCTTTTATTTTGATCCTTCCGAGTACAATTTATTGTAACTTATACCAGAACTAGTTTGTAAATACTGTAAAATTATTTGTATATATCAAATGCTATCCAGATTTTTGTTAAGTCAGATTCTACTTAACAAAATGTCATCATTTCAGCTATATTGCAGCACTTTCATCCGTAATTTTCAGACCTCAAGCTACAAAAACATATTGAAAATTCTTCTTATTTGTCAGAATCTAATTTCTAAATTGAAACCTTACATGAATTATACAAAATTCCACAGTTGAACGCTTGACAATCGTTTAGACATGCACGTAACAGCCTTTAGCTTTAAGCTATATACAAATGCAATTTTTCCGAAGCAACTCTCCTAAAGCATAATACACTCATTCATATCCACAACACTGTTAAGGATTTTTAAAGAAAATTCGGAATTTTGAACTAACCGAGATTATAGAAAAATGTATGAGACGTATATCTACATATTATATTGATAATAAAACAAAATGTTGATAAGGTGTGTGGAGTGCAAAAAATGACTAGTAGCTATTCCTATTACTAAACCTCCTCATAATGCGTAAAATATACGAGGGTTGTCTCAAAAATATGGTTTCCAACGCCAAAAATGTGGGAACCATATTTTTCAAACAACCCTCGTAGGTAAATATTACGTTTCATTCAGAATAAAATAAATATGATTTCTCTCACTTTTGCATTGAAATTCGTAACAGAAACGGTAAATAATAAATATCAGCTTGCAAATAATTGGCTGGAAGATATTTGCAACTGTCATTTTATTAAAAAATAGCTACTAATCGTGGACTGTGTATATTGATGAATATAACAATATGTTTAAAAGTAAATAGATATGTTATTTTTTATAATAAAATGTTGATTATCTATACTATGTGGTTTTAATTTATCTCATTCGTTAAATTGAAAATGGAGTCGAATTAATCCAGTACTTCGCTTGCCATCTCACGTTTTGATTGTTGCGAAGTGACTCATGGATCAAAATACGATCCTGTCATCAGCAGTAGGAAGACTAAAAAGTCTTTAAACGACCTAGAGTTTGAAAAAACAATAGTCAAACTTCATTTTACTTTAAATTTGGCTTTTAGTATGGATAGATAAATAATCTTTATCTTCATTTAGATTTCTAATTATTCTTGTAATAAAGAAAATCTTTGCTAGTCGAGAAAGCACTTTACATACATGATTAGTAAAATCTGATTTGAGATCTATGTTCGGTACCAAAAATTTGATGGTGTCTGTTTTGTGTATCAACTCATTTAAATTTATAAAATCGATAAAGCACTTCTGTACCTCAGAACCAGACTAGATTAAGTCGAAATAAGTAGTTTTGATATAATTGTATTTGAAATATTTTTCTTGCAAAGTATTGATATGAATTAAATAGTCGTAACTTCCATATTATTACCGATAGATGGACTCTGCATGTAGCAAATGAAAATTCACAATATTATAATAAGCTTAACATATTAAACTCATTTTTGAAAAAATGGACTTAACCTAGTCTGGCTGTGAGGTACACATTTGGAAGTCATACATTTTGCCTTATTAACATCTAAAGTCAAGTAGTTGTTGTCACACCATTTTTTTATTGATTGTAAATCAGTCACAGGAAAAACTACGAATTTGCCAAGTCTATTAAATCGTTGATATAGACTAAGAATAGGATTGGACCTGATACCGATCTCTGAGGTACCTCTGCGTTTATATTTAATTTATTTGAAATATAGTGTCTTAATAATTTTACAATTTGGAATCGAAATATGTTCGAACCAAATGAGCGAAACTCCGGCACAACCACATTCGTTTAATGTTTTCAATAATATACAGGGTGGCGCAAAGAAAACGAAACAGACGCATTTGGCAGCTCAGTTTTTTTTTGGAAAAACGCTCAGACCCGTCGATTTTGTGTTCGAGGGGGACACAAGTTTGGCAAAAAAATCACGTTAGCACGTGCAGCCCCCTAAGCGGGGGTGACACCACCCCCAAAATCTTAAATGGAAAGGGGGGTCGAGTGATACCTTATTTTAAAGGTCTTTCAATTCCCTTTATCGTAAACTATGTACTAAATTCCTATTTAAAATAAGTTTGAGATATTTCCTTATCTTCCTTCAAGAAATAACTTTTTGCCACAAAAAACGCTCAAACAGCTATTTTCAACAAAAAAATGATAAACAAACCATGGGCGTAGTGAAGAAAAGCATTTACTTATTAAGTAAATTCTTTTAGTCAAATTTCTTCTGAAAGTAGTACAAACCAATCTGACGTACCTATTAAAGTCTACTTTAAGCTTTAAATCAATAAATCTTCAAAACTACTGAACTGAAGCTCATATATTTTACATCATTTTAAAGGGAATTGAAAGACCTTTAAAATAAGGTATAACTCAACCCCCCTTTCCATTTAAGATTTTAGGGTTGCTGTCACCCCGGCCCAGGGGGCTGCACGTGTTAACGTAATTTTTTGCCAAACTTGTGTCCCCCTCGAAAACAAAATCGACGGGTCTGAGCGTTTTTCCAAAAAAAAAACTGAACTGTCAGTAAATGCGCCACCCTGTATAATGATTTACACAATCAAAAGCTTTGGAAAACTCACAAAAAAGAGCTATTGGAATTTGTTTATCGTTTAAATTTTAATCGCAGACTTCAATCCGGAAAGTGATAATAAAGTCCATCAA